GTTCGGAAGCATTTCGGAATATTGATCAAAGCCACAATGTCCCAGACTAGAAATAATTACCCAATCTGATCATGGCGTCCAAGACCAGACGGAGTCCAGGAAACAGTTTCCTCGGGATGGAACCTGTGCATCTGTCAAACAGGTCCTGGCATTTCACTCATCTCAAATTAGTTTGAAATTTTTTTTTCCAAACGGCTGTTGGGTGTAGCTAGTAGTATCGCCGTGGGCCCGAGAGCCTTGGGCGTGGACAGCCGCCATGCGGGAAGGACGAGGCGTCACTCAGACCTGACCCGGGCCTGCTGGGTCACTTGACCAAGACAGAAGCAAGTCTGTGTCCCTGTGGTTCCCACAGACTGGAGTTTTTGGTGCTGAATAGAAAGAAGAGCAGTTGCTTAAAAATCGGGGGTTTGGTGAATAAATTTTTGATTGATTGTTGTATGTGTATACAATGCGTGATTTTGAAAATAAACAGCAACAACAATAAAAACCCTGACTGGTTGATTTTTACCTGTATCCTTTACAAATATTGTTTGACCTCTTTGAAAACTGTTATGTTTCACCTAGTGAAAAACTTGTGTTTGTGGAAATTCTGTGGGTTTTTTTTCTCCCCCCCCACCCTTTGTCTTTGTTTGGGTTTTTTTGTTTTGTTTTGTTTTAGGTGTTTTTGGTTTTGTTGGTTTTTTTTTTCTGCTTGCGGAATTGGTGAGAGGCTATTAAGGCTTGATATTTAATTGACTCGTTTATTATATAGATGTAAAAGACTGTATAAACTGTAGCAATAGCACTGACATGACTTTGTACAGATACGATCTTTTACACAACACCATTGTGTAATTAATTTGTAAAGATTGACATGTAGCTCTTACAGTGAATTTTGGCTTTTGTGCCAATTGAATGCCTTTTTGTGTGTGTATTTTTAAGTTATTTTCTTTTATCATTTCATGTTACAAAAGCTGATGGATTTTTTTTAAGTTCATTTATCATTAGACTGTCTGAATTTTATGTAATTTCGTGTGCATCTCTTAAATGCGAAAACCACATTTTTGCCTATGACACACATAGAGAATGCAAAGCACCCTCTAAGTTGAAGTGATTCACAAGTTGGTGAATGTCACCCTACAACACACCCTGTACAGTCTTCCTTAAAGGAACACTAAATCTATTTTTAGTATCTCCTTGTCGAATGACCCAGTACATAGCTGAGCCTGCCGAGTTCTGGTACCGTATTCCGACATCGCATCCATGGCATAGTCCCTGTATAGAGTAGTGCCAAACTGATTCTTTCAATGGTGTAACTAGTTTGAAGCCCAATAAATGAATTGTTTTTAACACCTGGCTTCTGTCTTGATTAAGAGGAGAAGACAGTACTATGAGCACTCGCTGTGGATTCTCTTGCAGACAGAGGTCTGGGTATGCCGAATCTTATCCTGACATAAATTGGCTAGTTCTAGCCAGTCCAGTAAAGCAGCTTTGTTCCTCTGTTTACATCCAAACTGAAAGTCCTTTTCCTGAGTCTCACTGGCTGTGATTCAAGTGTCTGCTGTCCCTTGCAGGTACTGGGTTGCCCTTTGGAATCACACGGCTGCTTCCCACCCTCAGCCTGATTTGCGAATTGCATCTGAGAATCATGGGAGAATTGTATTAAAATGCGAACTCAAATTCTGGCTTCTGGCTCACGGTATCAGTGCCTGGTCCTGAGAGTGCCTTCAGTTCTCTGCAAGTGGTGCCAAGGGGCTCTCCCAGCTGGGCCAGGGAACCCTGGATCTCCCCTAGGCCCAGAGCGGGAACTGGAGCAATGGTAGCGGGGGTGAGGTGCTTGCTCTGCATGCCGCCAGCAGAGTGCTCCCTGAGCACTGCTGAAATCCCAACCCCCAAATCCCATCCCAGCAAACAACAAGAATGATTTCGTGCATTGATATACTCCTCAGCTAGAATTTCTCTGAGTAGGAATGAGGCATCGATGTTGAAAACTGCCTCAGGGATTCACATGTGCAGCAAGAATCAAGATGTGGCCAGACTCTGGGTGAGCCCCCACCAGCCCAGGGTCACTAATTCCAGCGCATGATTGGTCTCCAGCTCCCCACCACCACTACACCCCCCAGCCAAGGGTAATTCTGATGCTGGGATTAGAAGTTGCTTAGACCCTGATACCATCATTTTGTTAAACTTGAAATCACACTACCTAAATTTTCAGTGGCCCCGAGAATGAAAGGTAGGAGGAAAAAAATAAGTGATGGTGGCTCCTGAGTAAAATGATCTTAAATGTCTGTTGTGTCAATGAAGGGGAAAGGCAGGAAAGGTATGAAGGGAGGGAGATGATGGAGAGGTCAGAGCACTGTGAGAAGGTAGGCAGGCTTCTCTGGAGGGGAGAAGGCTCTGAGGAAACAGGTAATAAAGGTCATTAAAGTCCATCTGGAGGGAGGGAGGGGAGAGAGGGAGAGAGGGCAAGAGCTGCAGTTCATATACAGGCAGGTGACTGGATTTAGTGCCCAGCACCTCTCAAGCACCACCAGCAGTAATCCCTGAGCATGACTGGCTGTGGTCCCCTCTCAGCAAAGACTCAGAATTTGTTTCTAAATGAATCCCTAAAAAAAAATTAAATATTTCAGAATTATGGGGGGCTGGAGCGATAGCACAGCGGTAGGACATGTGCCTTGCATGCAGCCAACATGGCCGACCCAAGTTCGATTCCTCCGCCCCTCTCAGAGAGCCCAGCAAGCTACCGAGAGTATCTCTCCCGCATGGCAGAGCCTGGCAAGCTCCCTGTGATGTATTCGATATGCCAAACATAGTAACAACAAAGTCTCCAATGGAGACGTTACTGGGCCCACTCGAGCAAAATCGATGAACAACAGGAGGACAGTGACAGTGAAGGAGGGCTGGAATGATAGTATAGGGATCATGGCGCTTGCCTTGCATATGACCAAGCCGGGTTCCATCCCTGGACCATTTATCATCCCTTGAGTACCAGCAAGTGTGCTCCCTCATACCCTCCACCCTTTTTTTAGGAGGAAAACTTTTCCCATTAATTTGACAAAAGTTGCAGAGCATAACAATTCTAAATAAGATAAAGACACAGCCTGCCTTGGTGGGGGCAGGGTCCAGACCGTGCAGTGCTTAGGAGATCCTGTGGTTCTCACATGGAAAACTTGGTCTCCAGCACATGCAGCAGTTTTCCTGGCAGAAGGAGCAGTTGGCACTACTGGAGATGGCTGAGGATGGGAGAGTTTGCTTGTACACGCCCTCTGCATGGTTGAAGGGGAGGGGGCTGCTCAGTGCTTCATGGTCCCCTGAGCACTGCCAAGGCAGCCCCAATTATTTAAAAACCTGTTATTGGAGCTGGAGTGATAGCATAGTGGGTAGGGCATTTGCCTTGCATGCAGCCGACCTGGGTTTGATTCCCAGCATCCCATATGGTCCCCCGGGCACCACCAGGGGTAATTCCTTAGCGTATTAGCCAGGAGCAACCCCTGTGCATTGCTGGGTGAGACCCAAAAAAAAAAAAAAAAACCCTGTTATTGCCAAGTCGTTTGGGTTGCAGGCATTTTTTTTATATGTTGAGTAGTGCATACATAAAGGTACTGGCAGAGGGACAAAGCCACGCGGGTTCCGGGGCCGAGACCTCCAAGTCTACTCGATTGGAGTCGAGCATCTTCCACCCAGATCCTCCAAATTCCAGTAGGCAGGGGTCACACCCACCACCTGGCCCCCTGGCGCTGTGTAATCCCATCAGCGGCCAAGACTCAGAGACTATAAAATCCAGATCCCGGAACCTGACATCTTATCAGGACATCTTTTTTATGACATCTTATTGTCTCATTCCTACTTTGGACAAACTTGCAGGCTATCGAATGTAGCCTGCCCACAGGGCAGAGTCTGGCAAACTCCCCGTGGCGTACCAAATATGCCAAATACCAGTAACAATGATGGGTCTCATTCTCCTAAAGAGCCTTGAATATAATCTCAGGGCTAGGATGAAAGAGACGTTACTGGGGCCTGCTCGAGGCAATCGACGAATAACAGGATGATGAAATGAAATGAAATGAAATGATGAGTAGTGTGAAAGAAAGAACCCATGAAAAATTACGAATTTTGTTCTACTGAAAAAAATTGATGACATAGTCTTCATACTTTTGTAGACAAACCCCATTTGTTTTGTTCACTAATGTAACTTTTGCTATTCTCCCGTTGAATATTAAAGTTTTCGTTTTGGAGCTGGAGAGAGAGCACAGCGGGAGGGCGTTTGCCTTGCACACTGCGGACCCGGGTTCAATTCCCAGCATCCCATATGGTCCTCTGAGCACTGCCAGGAGTAATTCCTGAGTGAAGAGCCAGGAGTAACCCCTGTGCGTTGCCAGGTGTGACCCAAAAAGCAAAAAAATAATAATAATAAAAATAAAGTTTTCGTTTTACTGTCAAATAAGCTACAACATTTTCAATTTTGTTTGGGTTTGGGAGCCACACCTGGTGATACTCAGGGCTCATTCATGGATCGCACCTGGCGATGCTTAGGTGCCCACATGGGGTCCTGGGGATCAAACCCAGGTTGGCCACGTGCAAGGCACCAGCCCTCTCTACCCGTTGTACTATCGCTCCAACCCCAGGAGCAGAATGTTAAATGTGGGGTTAAACTGACACTGATTTAAAATTAAAGGCCTGAGCGACAGTACAGCGGGAAGGGCGTTTGCCTTGCATGAAGCGGACCCTAGTCCATCCCGGGCATCCCATATGGTCCCCGAGCACCGCCAGGAGTGATTCCCGAATGCAGAGCCAGGAGGAACCCCTAAGCATCGCGGGGTGTGACCCCAAAAGAAGAAAAAATAAGTAAAAACGTGATGTACAATGCGCTGGACCATGACACACCAGTTTAGGAGAAAAACGTTCTCAGCCACGGCTTCCCGGCGGTGGGCGCAGGGGGCGGCGGGGCCAGGGCGCGCACGGGGGGCGGGCGCGGGGGGCGGCGCCGGCGCGCGTGGGCGCGGGGGGCGGGCGCGGGCGCGGGCGCCGCGGGGGTCGGGGCTGCGCGATGGAGGCGGGGAAGGCGCGACCGCCGGCAGGTGAGGGGTCGCCGGGAGGGGGGAGGCCGGGCTGGCGGCGCCTGCGCGCTGCGTTCCCGCCGGGCCTGCGGGCGGGGGGCTGTCTCAGGCCTGCGGGGGTCCCTGTCCTGTCGCCAGACTGCGGGTCCCTGTCCCGTCGCCGGCCTGCGGGGGGTCCCTGTTCCGTCACTGGCCTGCGGGTCCCTGTCCAGTCGCCGGCCTGCGGGGGTCCCTGTCCTGTCGCCGGCCTGCCGGGGTCCCTGTCCTGTCGCCGGCCTGCGGGTCCCTGTCCTGTCGCTGGGCCTGCGGGGACCCCTGCCCCGCGCGCTGCGGGGATCGGTGTCCTGCGCCTCGGGGATCCTGTCCCGCGCCGTGCGGGGTCTCTGTCCCCGGCCTGCGGGTCCCTCTCCCGAGCCTGCGGGGTCCCTATCTTGTCGCAGACCCACAGGTCCCTGTCGCCGGCCTGCGGGTCCCTGTCCTGCACCTGGGGCACCTTGTCCTGCGCCCTGCGGGTCCCTGTCCCGCGCCGTGCGGGGTCTCCGTCGCCAGCCTGTGGTCCCTGTCGCCGGCCTCCTGCGGGCGGGGCGCTACACCCCCGGGAGCCCACTCCGACGCAGTGGTCCCGCCGCCCGGCCCGGGGCCTCCAGGCCGCACCCGCACCCGCACGTCGCGCTCGACCCTGGCCCCACCCCCCCCCCACGCCCTGCCCTGTGCGCGCGACCTTGGACAGCGTCTAGGCGCCCAGGCGCTCCCGCTGGGACAGGAGTCTGGCCCCTGTCAGGGCCGGCCTGTGCGCAGCGCCGGGGTTTGATCCTGGCACCGTTTTTGCGTTTGTTGTTTGCTTGTTAAGTGTCTAGAAAAGAACATATTCTTTCAAAAAATGTTTTTAAGCAGCGCAGTAAGTCACGAGGCGCTGCGATTGCAGTGAGCGTGTCCCCTGGCGGCAGCCCACACCTTGCCAGACTTGAGGTCCTCGCCTTTGGCGTCAGGAGCTTGGCTCAGCGCCGATCTTCCAGCACATAGCTGGAGAGTGGGCTGACAGGTAAAGGGAAGCAGGGGCCGGGAAGGGGGGCCGGGGCTGGGAAAGACCCCCAGAGATATATCAAGAGGCCTTGTCGTTTTCATCTCATAGTCGGGAGTAGCAAATAGAGAATTGACTTGCTCCCGTTTCCGCGGCGCAAAATCTTGCCATCAGAAGAACTCTGCTCCCCTTCGCATTCTCAGTGTCTTTGTTTACTTTAAATTGCCGAAAACTGGTACTAAGACCTGGTGTCTTTCCCTACCGTTTCACTCCTATCAGCTCCTGAGGTTTCTCTGCTCAAACCTTCAGTTTATTCTGCCTCTGCTTTCCTCCCTTTCTGTCCCAGCATCTGATGGCCTTGGACCCTTCCACTGCCCCGCAAGCAAGCGGGAGAGAATACAGGGTTCCACCACGCAGTAACTCCTACCAGGGGTCACCCTAGCTGCTCTGAGGCTGCTGGCCTGGTGTAGCCAGCTAGCCAATACTGAGTGCTCAGCTGTGGCTTCTGTACTGCCCTGTGGAGAACTCAAGGTGAGGAATGTGGGCTTCAGAGATTGGCACAGCAGGGAGGGTGCCTGTCTGGCACAAGGGTGACCCGGGTACAATCCCCAGCCGCCCATAGAGTCCCCTGAGTCCCACCATGAGTGATCCCTGAGCTCAGAGCAAGGAGTGAACCCTGAGCACTGCTGGGGGGGTGGTTCCCTTCGGGACTCAGGCTCTACCTATTAAGTTAGGTTTTTCGCATTTGGACTCAGTTTCTCACCTGTAAAATGGATATGAGTTACCTATCTTAGGGATGCTGTGAGAATTCCGTGAGTTATTACTTAGAAGCACAGCATGGAGTGTGGCCTGTCATAACACTTACAGTTCATTTACTAATAACAATGATGACAGTTATATTCCAGACCTGGAATACTCTTATTATTTAGAATTGCCTCTTGGTTTAGAAGTGAGGTAATATCAAAACCATGAGTGAACCTGTAACTCAAACTAGGAGGTAAATTGAGAAAGGACTTTCCTGATGGGGAAACAGAGAGTAGCCTTGGGATGTTATGGAAGGGCCATAGCACTGGTGGCAGGTTTGTAGTTGGAATGCTCAATGCCCGAACTCAGTTACTTAAAGCTTTGTTAAAAGAAAAAAAAATCTTTGTAAATTACAGTGCCTAAATAAAACACTAACATTAAAAATAAAATTATTGAAAGTTTAAACAAATGAAGGGGTATGGAGAGAGGTCCCAGGAGTCACCCATGTGCATTGCCTCAAGCCTTACCCCGGATGCACAGAACCCTCAATAGCTGGGGATGCCAGCCCTTCCCCCCACCCCCCCCACACAATGAGGCACCCTAGAATGACAAGAAAGTAAAAAAAAAAAAAGAAAAAAATGCCTCTTATCTTTTACATCCCCAAATTTGTTTTCCTCCGATTTTTTCTTCCTGTTAATCTCAATTACTGGCTAGCATGTAAAAACAAACAAAACCCCAGGAAGATAGCTTAGAGGCACTGAAGGTTATCTTTAGCAGAATCCATGTTGAAGAGCTTCAGGAAAAGCTCCCCTCCCCCTGCCATGCAAATCACATGATCCAGCTTTGGGCTTTCTCCCCTAGCCCAGCGTTAGACAGTTTTAAAGTTGTAATCATTAAGAAACAGAGAATCAGGATCTCTCCCCCCCCCCCCCCACACACACACGCGCACGCAAGCACAGCGTGTGGGGGCTCTTCAGGTCACACAGCAGTTTAAGGGCTGATCCTGGCTCTGATGTTCAAGGGTCATTCCTAGAAGTTCTTTTGGGAGGGGGGTCCCACCTGCGGTGCAAGAGAGCAAGGGCTGAGACAGGAAGCTCTTTAACCTGTGCTGTCTCTCTGGTGCTCACGAAAGTGTTAAGGGGGCTGACGCCCTGACCCGACCCCTTTCTCTGCTTCTATGGTCCTGCAACTGACTGGTTAAGCCCACACACAAGTGGAGGTCTCTTCACACCAACTGGTGCTGGGAGTTAAGTATTCTGAACATGCCCCCAGGTGTCCCAGTGGCCTTAGTGATGGCTAAAATGCTGGACTACAGTGAATGCTTTCCCTTCTCGAGAGCCGTCTCCAAGAGACAGTTTCAGCTGTCCCACTTTCAGCATCTCTGGGAATAGGGTGTGTACCAAGCCATACAGGGTTTGGGATTTGGAACAGAAAGATTAGACTGTATGTGTGTGTGTCGGGGGGGGGGGGGGAAGAGGGTTAAATCATACTGCAAAAAAACAAAGAAAAAATGATTAAGCAAGGCGCCAGAGGTTGTGCTTTTGAAGTGGAGAGAACCTTATGCCTTCACACCCTCCACACCATACGTGTGGAGCTGCCATACGTGTGCACATGGTACATGCAAGCTGAGGAAAGGGCCACGGGACCGTACATGCTTTCTGATCCACACTTAGTCACATTTACTTAGTTGCCAGTGGGGGAGTTTTCACTTGGTAAATTTTCTATAATTCTGACCCCCTTCATTACTTCCCTTTCTCAACTTCATTATTTCTCAAATGTAATTCCACATAAAGTTTTTTCCAAAGGAGGGTTTATGGGGTTTACTAAGAAATCATAAATAGGGATAAGAAATGATAGAAAATAGGGGAAAAAGGGATTCCTCCAAGGGAAAAATATGAGTTGCTAGCAATTTGTGAGTTACACAAAAGACTACAAAATAATTCAGCAAAATTTATATCTACATATAAATACATAGCTACAGATATATAAATATGTATGTATTTACATAGATGCAGGTATTGCTGAGTATGTGTGTATGTGTGTGAGCATGAGTGTGTGTGTGTTGGAGGAAGGGAAAGGTGAGACTAGGTCCTAGGGGTTACTTCAGGCTTTTTGCTACCCAAGCACCTCCTCCCACCCTTTGCTATATCCCTGGTCCACCTCAGCCCTACCCCCCTTCTCTCTGCCCCCTCCTCTAACCCCCACCCCTGCCCTTTCACCTTTCACCCACCAGGCTTCTCACAAGACTCCCTTTCATCTCCCTAGGAAGGATAAGCTTCCCTGCTCCCTGCTTTCTTAGTGGCCGCCACCCTCTGATCATCCATACAGTCACATTAACCACCAGCCTGGTTGCTGGTCTTGCTCCCTGGGCTTAGCTGGGTAGTAGGCTCAGTGCAATTCAGGGGGCATTTTCATTTGCACACTTAAATTTCTGGGGGGCCCTGAGCAGTAGGGTATGTGTGTTCTGAGAGAAAGGCAGTGGGATATAGAAACTGATCTGGACTAGGCTCTGACCTCTCTGGCAGAGAGGTCATGTTCTGTGTCTCCAATGTCACATCTGCAGTGCCAGTCAGAAACCCAAGGGGTGGGCTCAGTTTCTATATCCCACTGCCTTTCTCTCGGAACACACACACACTACTGCTTTTTATTTTATGGTAATCATAATTCTGTATATATATATACATATATATATATATATATATATACATATTTGGGCTGGAGCGATAGCACAGCGGGTAGGGCATTCGCCTTACAAGTGGCCAACATGGCCGACCCGAGTTCGATTCCTCCGCCCCTCTCGGAGAGCCCGGCAAGCTACCGAGAGTATTCGATATGCCAAACACAGTAACAACAAAGTCTCCAATGGAGACGTTACTGGGCCCGCTCGAGCAAATCGACGATCAACGGGAGGGCCTTTACCTTTACCTTTATATACATATTTAACTTTTATTACATCACTGTGAGATAGATCCTTGCAGAACTGTTCATGATTGGGTTTCAGTCATACAGTGTTCCAACACCCATCCCTCCCACCAGTGCAAATTTCCTAGCACCATTGTCCCCAGGTTCCCTCCCATCACCTTCCACCCCACATCCCCTACCTGCCTCTATGGCAGGCACTTTCTCTCTCTCTCTCTCTCTCTCTCTCTCTCTCTCTCTCTCTCTCTCTCTTTCTCTCTCTCTCTTTCTCTCTCTCTCTCTCTCCTTTTGGGCATTGTGGTTTGCAATATTGATACTGAAAGGTTATCCGGAATATCCCTTACCTACTTTTCATCCTCAGATCTTGTCCAGCAGTCTGCTTTTAAAAACACTCCAGTGCTGAAGAGATAGTATGGGGTAAGGCCTTGCATGTGGCCAGCCCTGGTTTGCTCCCAGGAAAGCATGTGGAATACCTCATGCTCCATTAGGAGTCATTCCTGAGAACAGAGGCAGGAAGAATCCTTGAGCACTGCCTGGCATGTCACATGATCCCACCCCACCCCCAAATTAAGTAAATAAAACACTCTACAAGCAGGGGTCGGAGTAATAACAACAATAATAACATTGAGTTAGGCACCAGCCTTGTACACAGCCAGCCCAGGTTTGTCCCCGACATCCCTGTGGTCCTCTGAGCCTGCCAGGAATAATCCCTGAGCACATAGCCAAGAGTAGATCCTGAGCTTCATCGGGTGTCTCCCTAAACCTAAAACAAACAAACAAAAACCCACAAAGCACTCTCCAGGTAGTTCATAAGCCAGTTTGAAAAGTTTGGTTTCATAAAGCCTAATGGAATGACTTTATCTTTTTTTTTTTGGGGGGGGGGGTTAGTATATCAAGAGTTCTGCAACCATAGCTGCAGTTAATTTTTTTTTTGAATTTTTATTAGTGAGACACCATGAGGTACAGTTGTAGACTGACAAATTTTGTGCTTGGGTTTCAATTATACAATGATCAAATGCCCATCCCTCCACCAGTGCCCATTTCCCACTGCCACGGATCCCAGTATCTCTCCCACCCCCCATTCCCCCCATCCCACCCTGCCTCTGTGGCAGGGCATTCCCCTTTGTTCTCTCTCTCCTTTTGGGTGTTGTGGTTTGCAAAAGAGGTAATGGGTGACAATCGTGTTTGGTCTATAGTCTACTTTCAGCATGCTTCTCCCATGGGATGACTTTATCTTGTGGAGTTTTTGTCTCTCCTGTGTTGGGCTTTGACAGGCAAAGTGTGGCCTGTGCATGGGGGTGGGGGGGAGCTGGGAACATGGGGGGAGGTGCTAGCCCGAGACCACTCCTCTCTCCATTAATTCCTTTCTGCTTCTGGGCATGCATTTTGTGTGCAGGCTTTAAGCCTCAGGCCTCTTTGTCACATGTTGCTCCTCTGTGAATTGAGGCCCTGACCCCCTCCTGCAGAAGGAAGAGTCGTTTCTCCCTGAAGATGAACTCAACAGCCCCCCTCCCAGAGGCCCTCAATGCCAGCTGGCCCCCTGTGCACCAACCCCCCGGAGGAAACGGCACTGCCCTCTCGGAGAACTGCCCAGAACTCGTCCACACGGCCACCTTGGTCACCTGCACGCTCCTCCTCACCATCATCTTCTTCCTGGGCTCCTATGGCAACTTCATTGTCTTCCTGTCCTTTTTTGATCCAACCTTCAGAAAGTTCAGGACCAACTTTGACTTCATGGTCCTAAACCTGTCCTTCTGCGACCTCTTCATCTGTGGGGTGACAGCCCCCATGTTCGCCTCTGTGCTGTTCCTCCACTCAGCCAGCGCCCTTCCCGATGCATTCTGTTTCACCTTCCACCTCACCAGCTCGGGCTTCCTCATCATGTCCCTGAAGACGGTGGCCGTGATCGCGCTGCACCGGCTCTACCTGGCCCTGGGCAAACAGCCAAGCCGCGCGGCCGCCCTGCCCTGCACGCTGCTCCTCGTGTTGCTGCTCTGGGCCAGCAGCTTCACCCTGGCCGCCCTGGCCACGGTCAGAGCCAGCAAGTCCCACCTCTGCCTCCCCATGTCCAGCCTGATGGCGGGGGACGGGAAGGTCATCCTGGCCCTCTATGTCGTGGACTTTGCCTTCTGCGTGACCGTGGTCTCAGTCTCATACGTCATGATCGCTCAGACCCTGCGGAAAAACGCCCAGGTCCGGAAGGGTCCCCCTGTGATTGCCGTGGATGCGTCCAGGCCGCAGCCCTTCGTGAGGGGCCCTGGGAAGGCAGGTGCAGAGCCCCTCCAGTGCACCATGCCGGCCCTCTACAGGAACCAGAACTACAACAAACTGCAGCACGTGCCAACCCATGGGTACCCCAAGAGTCCCAGCCAGCTGCAGCTGGTCTCAGCTGTCAACCTCTCCACCACCAAGGACTCCAAAGCAGTGCTCACCTGTGTGATCATCGTGCTCTCCGTCCTGGTGTGCTGTCTTCCCCTGGGGGTGGCCTTGGTACAGGTGGTTCTGTCACGCAGGGCGAGCTTCCTCCTGTACCAGGTTGAACTGTTTGGGTTCACCCTCATCTTTCTCAAGTCGGGACTGAACCCTTTCATATATTCTAGGAACAGCGCGGGGCTACGGAGGCGTGTGCTCTGGTGCCTGCAGTATGTTGGCCTGGGTTTCTTCTGTTGCAAGCAGAAAACCCGGCTCCGGGCCATGGGCAAAGGGAACCTGGAGGTGAACAGAAACAAATCTTCACACCACGAGACAAACTCCGCCTACATGCTCTCTCCGAAGCCCCAGAAGAAATTTGTGGATCAGGCTTGTGGTCCCAGTCACTCCAGGGAAAGTGTGGCGAGTCCCAAGCTCTCGGCCGGGCTTCAGCACCACGGCCAGAGCACCTCCACCCCAGTCCACACGCGGCTGGACGCCTACTACAGCATCTATAACAGCAGCCCGCCCGGGGAAGAGAGTGTCCCCTGCAGCTTGCAGCCCGTAAACTCCTTTGCGTTTGCCAGCTCCTACATTGCCATGCATTATCACACCACTAGTGATCTAATGCAAGAATTTGACAGTACTTCTGCCCGGCAGATTCCAGTTCCTTCTGTCTAAAGTCACAGGGTCCTGAGAGTCTCGTGCAGACTCGTTTTCTTTCTGATACTAACTTAGCTTATCTTTTAGTTTTGTGAGACCAGTGGTAGGTCAAAACTTAGAGTCAGCTAAATAGTTGGCAGTTGAGTTTTCCTTTTTACTGAAATCTGATGATGTGCTCTGTGATTTCTTGACATTTCTTGATTGGACATAGATGGTTACTTTTTAGATTTTTACCCTGGTCTAGCTTCCAGTCTTTTGTACTGATTATTTCATAGATACCAATAATGATCCTACTACGACGTTAAAGTGGAGAATGAACTGATTATAATCGCTGGGACATTAAAATATACATGAACTCAATTTTTTAAAGAATGTGAAAGTATATATTTACTGATGCTGTTTTTTGATTTATAAACGCAGAATTACTAAATTATAAATTTTGGTTCATTGAAGTGTTGAAATGGGGTGCAATATTTTTGGTACCAGGCTTATTTGATCACATAATATACTGTTGGGACTGGAGTGATAGTACAGCAGGAAGGGTATTTGCCTCGCATGCAGTCATCCCGGGTTTGATCCCTGACATCCCATATGGTCCCCCAAGCACTTCCAGGAGTGATTCCTGAGTGCAGAGCCAGGAGTAACCCCTGAGCATTGCTGGGTATGACCCAAAAAGCAAAACCAAAACCAAAACAAGACCCCCAAACAAATAATATACTATTGGGGCTGGGGGAGGCATTCCAGGGGTGAAGGCACCAGCCTCTCATGCACTGACTCAGTTCACTTTCTAGTGACACATGCCTGTGCATTGCTAGCGTATCCCTGAGGCTCCCTGGACACTGGGGGGTGTGGCATCACAGAGCCCGACCATCACTGTATCCTTGGATCCTTCCACTGGGCCTTCCCTACCCTCATACATAATTATTGCAGAAAATAAGAAATATATTGTCTATGACTATCCTTAGCAAAAATATACAAGCATTGGGTCTTGTGCAAGACAGCCAACTAAGAATATAGTTATGTTATGTTATGTTATGTTATGTTATGTTATGCTTAGTGCTATCTGTTACTCTACACATTATTATTTTGTGCCCATTGAGTATGTCATTATTTTAAAACATGCTCTTACTTGCTAAAAATAAAGTGTCTATTTTGAAGTCCTAGAGAAGAGGGCTGCATTGGGGTGGCCGTGTGCTATCCTTGGGAGAGTGGGCACTGTGGCTGCCCGCCTGCTCTGTGAACAGCACTGGACACAGTGATGGTGGGTGCTGCGTTCCTGCTGAGGAGAGTGTGCAGTGAGGCTGGCAGTGTGCAGATTCAGGCTTCCTCCATTGTGAGACCTCACAGAGCAAGTCCAAGCAACTATTCAGAAGTCAGTGTTTGTCTTTTCATGCATTACAAGGGTAGGAAAATTCTTATGATGATCTATTTTCAAATACATTATTTTCCTCCTGTATTAGCAGGAAAAGAACTGGAAATGAACAGAAAGGAAGCATTGATTCATTATTTCTGTGCCCAAAACCAATTTTCTTAAGTACTCTGTGGATTCAGGCATAAAGATGAACATATTTTCATGTAGATTTGGATATTATTATACAGTTAACATTTGAACTTGTTGCAGTTTTAAAAGTATAACTGCTAGACACGAGATAAGCATGAGATACAGGACTTCTCTGTCTTGGTGGTCATTTTCAGGAACTGCTGTTCCTCATTGGAAGGCGTGTTTGCTGAGAGGCATTCACCTCCTACACCTCTTCTTGGGGTTACTGAATAGAGTAGTCAGGAGGGGCCTGGGGTGGACAGAGGGTGACCAGGTCTCTGTCAGGACCAGCCAGCCATTCTGCTTCTAGGATTTCAATGTGAGAAAGGTTTTTACTTCTTTTTCAAAATTTTCCTTTGAGGCTGATGTTTTCTCCTTTTTTCTTACCCTTTCATCCATTATTGATTTTGTTTTGGGGCTACGGTCAGCAGTGCACAGGGATTACCCCTGGCTCTGCACTTGGAGATCACCCCTCATGGCATTGAGCCCGGTTTGGATTCAGGCAGAGCAAGCACATAACCACTGTGCCATCTCTCTGCCCCCACTTCTTTACTTTTGCTATTAAATTTTATAACAAGAGAAGATATCCACTCTCACATTTTCTTTTGTAACTGAATGCTACTCTTGGAAGTCACTGTGACCTATTTGAATTGTGCTTTTCTATTTTTAAAAGCAACACTTCATTTATTAGTACTTTCATGAAATGGGTTAGTATACTACCTCTTTTTGAAAAAGAATTAAGAAGTCTATTCCAAGATATCTTGAAGAATTGTGGCAAACTAAGAATTAAACTTTTAACTTCAACTCAAAATCTGGTATTTAATTCAATAAGTCAGATAGCTTTCTAATTATTAACATTAAGATATTTCACACTTTTTAAGGTATATATTTCTTTTTGGCCAGGCGTATCAAATGTGATTAAATATAAGATTTTTTAAACATAATTTCTACTTGTAAATTTTTTAAATGACAGTTTTTCTGTGTGACCTTTAAGTTTTGAGATGATCCATCTTAGGGAGGTAGAAATTATAGCATATATAAAATTGAGCATGTGCATATGAGGTATTCAGTCTCTTTATGCTCATCAAGAAATTATTGATTCTGTGCTGGGAAGATTCTCAAGGGATGACGCACATGCTTTGCATGCAGGAGTCACGGGTTTGATCCCCAACACCACACGGTCCCCCCAGCACTGCCGAAAATTCACAGAGCACTCCTGGGTGTGGGCCCGAAGCAAAGAAAATAACAACAAAGCAATTATTGATTCAACTTGCATGAAATACACAGTAGGCTAGATTCTTAGCTGTCCTTCACATCTATATCTATGCAGGTATAGAGGCATTTATAACTCTTCATAAGGGCTAAAATGAGAACTAAAAGTAATGAGAATTCAGTTGAATATGACTAATTAGCAGGGCACAATAATTAGTTCTCCTGATGCTTTACTGTGATGCAAAGTATGTGACATATTTTAGACATTTTATAATTATTCTGATATTAACCATTAAGTCAGATTTGTATTTCTGATGCTTTTAATGTAATTTTAAAATAATGTTTGGAAAATAAACATATTAAAAATCCTAACATTTCTGGACATATTTCAGTGTGGTGACTTTCCTGTCTGGTCATTTGAAAACCATCATAGAGGGCCAAAGAGTGCCTTCTGAGTGTGAAGACCTACTTACTGAGGGCTGGCTTGGCTTGAATCTCCAGCACCACATATGGTTCTCTGGGTATTGTCCAGAGTGATCCCTGAGCACAGAGCCAGGCAAGAATAGGCCCTTGGGGGCTGGAGAGATAGCACAGTGGGTAGGGCGTTTGCCTTGCACGCAGACGACCCAGGTTTGAATCCCAGCATCCCATATGGTCCCCTGAGCACTGCCGGGAGTAACTCCTGAGTGCAGAGCCAGGAGTAACCCCTGTGCATCGCCAGGTGTGACCCAAAAAGCAAAAAAAAAAAAAGAATAGGCCCTGAACACCCCAGGATGTAACTGCCCCGAACCAAAATAATAACATAAAGGAAATTATTATGGAACAAATTATTGTTAATACATTACTTAACATTGATGCATTATTGCACTATTATAAACGGCATTATTGCCTAAATCTAAGAGGTACTTTCCTTAAGTGATGAAACAATCCGTTTGAGCACAGTTTGTTGTATCTGCTCAGATTTGTTGTATCTGAACACCTCGAAGATGTTTCCTGATCTAGAGGCGGCCATACATCAGAGTGATAGCCCAGTGGGGGCCACTCAGAGTCTTCTGAACTGGGAGGGCAGCCAGAGGCCACGTTCTGTCCTACCCAGTGACAGGTCATTGCTACAGGCTGTGTAGCATCTGAGAAGAACTTTGATTTTGCTGGCACCATGTCTTATCACCTAGCAGTACATAAATCTTGAAGAAGTGGATTAGAGAAGTCGATCAAATGTAGGATGACTTGGAGTGGGAGCAATAGTATGGTAGGACATTTGCCTTGCACACAACCCACCCTGGTTTGATCCCCGGAATCCCTATGATCTGTGAGTCCCACTAGGAGTGATCCCCAAGTGCAGAGCCAGGATTAAGCCCTGAACAATGCCTGGTGTGACCCCCAAACCAAACAAAACAGAGACAAAAAGCTGTGATGCCTTAAAGAGACATCAACCCTAATATCTAAGTAGCTGGCTTCCAATTTGACCTTTTTCACTCCCCTCCCCCCGCAATTTCCCTAGGATGATTATCAGTAGGAAACTAATAAAAGGCACCAGAGCCAGAGGACAGTGAGCAGTGGGAGGGTACCTGCTTTGAATGTGTGAGGCCCTGGGTTGGATCCCCGGCCCTGCACATCAACAAACAAAACCCCTAAACTACCACCAAAACATCATTAGACAAAAATCAAGAAACCAAACAGAGAGTACACCTAAGGGGCCAGGAGATTAATGGGGGGCCTGAAGGCCTTGAATCTAACTGCTGTGCGAGGCATCCCTCTGACACTCAGCACCACTAATGAACATCAGCCCTGGAGAGCACTGGGGCAGGGGGTGCGAGCACCAAGCCACATATGCAGCCTCCAGTAAGCGTGCAGGCAAGGGTGTGTGAACCCTGACACTGTGACATCCATAAGGAAGAGGGGAAAAGGAAACAGGATGCAGGTCTTGTTCTAGGACTGCCAAACTTTTCCCAACTTCTAAGCTGAAGGACCAGTCATGAGGGACTGTCCTGGCTCATAGGAGCTGACACTAACCTACGTCCTTTCTCTGTGGAATCCCATGGCTTGTGCTAGCATATGTTGGCACAGAAACTCTTTAGCACTCTCAGAGGAACAATAGGAGAGGAGGCAAGAGAGAAGTCCGTGATAACTTGGATAAAGGTGCATATTTGGTGAAATTTTGCCTCCCAGAAATGATGGTTAATAGGCAATCTCAACTTTTTGAGATTAATTTTACCAAAGCAAAAATACTGTTTCATTGCTTATAAACACATTACTGAGTTTTCCTTCCCCATCCGGATACACACATAATTATCTTTTAAAAGTGAATATTCTTTTAAAAGTGAATATATCTAGCGAGCACCAAGATGAGTTCATCTACAGGGTTAAGGCTTGACCTTGAGTTTTCCCCACCCTTCCCACTGCCAGCAGTCTGTGCTGAGGAAACAGCTTCTGCTGATTCCCAGGCTCAGGATCTTGATTTTCATGCAGAGCCTGCGGTTTTGCAAAATGCAGTTTGTTCATATGCCAGCTAGGCCTTTGGAAGTGGAGCAATTCACAAAGAGTGTTTTATGCTGTTCTGTGGACCTGGCAATGGGAGACATTTCCTAACCTGTGTAAATGTCTTGGGTTCAGTACATTTTTCTTTTCCTTTTCTTTTTCTCTTTCTTTTCCTCTCTGTTCTGTTCTTTTTGGTTCTTCCCCCCCCCCCCCCGATCTTTTGTGTTCTGTTTTGGGGCT